TATAAGATATATATATATATATATATATATATATATATATATATATATAAATAAATAAATAAAATTTTACATTACCATCTAATAAAATTTTGACATATAAGTTTATTAACTTTTATAAAAATTACTAAACTCAACTAAATAAAAATTACGATAAATCAATAAGATTAGTTTAATGGTTGAGTGGGGAGAGATTGTGATAGTCATGAAGACGTATATTCAATCCTCATTGCGACCATCTTTGTAATCTTTTCTATCTTAAAAAAAAAAAAAAATTACGATAAGTATAATTTTTAAATAACTTTTTATTTACCTCAAAGACACATTTGGTTTGGGTATGGGTTTTGGTATAGGCTTGGCCGCAACCCCACATAGAGACCAGCCAGAGGCACCTTGCCGTCGACAGCACTCGAAGGATGCGGAGCTTCGGGATGAGAAACTTGTTGTCCCGTGTCAACAGAAAAACAAAGAAAAGATTCAGAAACTGCACTTCCTTAACAAAAGAGTTATCACGCTTAGTGGAACAGCAAGAAGAAGTTACCGATGAAGGTTTCAGCATCAAAAGCTCTGCCCCATCACACACTCACGGCGTTCAGCCCTTGGGAAACCTCTATCTGAACCCATCTTCCACTAACTCCAGAGACACTGGCTTAGGTAATCTTCACACCCTTTCCGATGAGCTTCTTCTCGACATTCTCGGATTTTTGGATTCCACTAGCTTAGGTGTTTTGGCCACTGTTAGCAAGTCCTTCTACGTCTTCACCAACCACGAACCCCTTTGGAGGAATCTCGTCTTGGAGAATCTTCTCGGAGGGTTTCACTATAAAGGGTCTTGGAAATCCACCTATGTTGCTGCTTCCTTCCCTTCATTTGATACCTCCACCATTGCTCTTGGGGGTTTCAAAGTTCGAGACTTTTACTCCGATTACCTTTTCCAGAGTTGGCTCTGTGCCAATCTCGAAATGAAGCCAGAGTGGTTGGAGAGGGATAATGTGGTTCGGAAGAGGGGCATTTCGATTCAAGAGTTTGTGTTGAATTTCGAGGAGCCTAATAAGCCCGTGTTGTTGGAAGGGTGTATTGATAATTGGGGTGCTTTGAGAAATTGGGATAGGGATTATTTAGTGCGGTTGTGTGGTGATGTTAGATTTTCAGTTGGGCCGGTGGAGATGAAGCTTAGAGACTATTTTGGGTACTCGGATCAGGTTAGAGAGGAAAGGCCTTTGTATTTGTTTGATCCTAAGTTTGCTGAGAAAGTTCCGAAATTGGGGGATGAATATGAAGTTCCTGTGTACTTTAGGGAGGATTTGTTTGGTGTTTTGGGCAATGAGAGGCCTGATTATAGGTGGATTATTATTGGACCAGCTGGATCTGGATCTTCTTTCCATGTTGATCCGAATTCGACCTCGGCGTGGAATGCAGTGATCAAGGGGTCCAAGAAATGGGTATTGTTTCCTCCTGATGTGATTCCGCCCGGTGTTCATCCTAGCCCTGATGGGGCGGAGGTGGCTTCTCCTGTTTCAATAATTGAATGGTTCATGAACTTCTATGGTGCAACAAAGGACTGGAAAAAGAAACCAATTGAGTGCATATGTAAAGCTGGAGAGGTTATCTTTGTGCCTAGTGGATGGTGGCATTTGGTGATCAACCTGGAGGAATCTATAGCCATAACCCAAAACTATGTTAGTAGGTGAGGTTCTTTATTGATTTCTGTAGGTTTTAGATGTTTGGTTAATAAAATAGTAATTTTGAGCTTCTGTGTGGTAATAGTAATTTTAAGTGTTAATCTTTGCTTTTTGGTTAATAATTGATGAGATCTTGATAAAGCTATGGCTAACCTCATTAGACTCGGTTTCTGAATGGACCGGAGTTGGTCATGCTTTCCACTTAGTTGTTCATGCTTTCCGCCCGGTGTTCATCCTAGCCCTGATGGGGCGGAGGTGGCTTCTCCTGTTTCAATAATTGAATGGTTCATGAACTTCTATGGTGCAACAAAGGACTGGAAAAAGAAACCAATTGAGTGCATATGTAAAGCTGGAGAGGTTATCTTTGTGCCTAGTGGATGGTGGCATTTGGTGATCAACCTGGAGGAATCTATAGCCATAACCCAAAACTATGTTAGTAGGTGAGGTTCTTTATTGATTTCTGTAGGTTTTAGATGTTTGGTTAATAAAATAGTAATTTTGAGCTTCTGTGTGGTAATAGTAATTTTAAGTGTTAATCTTTGCTTTTTGGTTAATAATTGATGAGATCTTGATAAAGCTATGGCTAACCTCATTAGACTCGGTTTCTGAATGGACCGGAGTTGGTCATGCTTTCCACTTAGTTGTAGTTTGATACATGTTTTGGCTTTTGAATGGTATGATGGATTGACTAGTCAATTATTGTTCTGTTAAGTGCCTGATTTTAGTTGTATTCACCAGATATTATATGACACCAATACCTCAGAATCTTGAAGGAAGCAGATATTTTGATAGGAACATTTTCTCAGAATATTCATTATTTGTTTTTTGTTGATGGTAAAATATCCATTGGCAACTCAGAATTTGGCACTTTAGACTCATCACCCTTTGGGCTAGACATTCGAAAATTTATTTGGACTCGTTTTGCAGTTATGAAGGGTCAGTAAATGGTTATTGCCTGGTTTGTATTATATTTGGATATGAGGGTCAGTGAAGAATTGTCATAAGTATATGCCTAGGCAGAGTATGGCACCCTGATTAGATGCTGGATTAAGTCACCTATGATACTGGCTGGAACTCACCCTAGTCAAAGAGCTCCTTCAGGGAATTACCAATTACCTACATATTTCTAAAGGAAAGTTCATTTTTCTTCTTTGTGTGGCTAATGCCTAAAATAGATTGATTTCGTATTTAAACTATTATAACATCTTATTTGTCCATGTGTCTTCTAATATAATCATTAACAAAACAGATGAGCAAAATGTATATTTCTCGACAATAACAATAGCATGCTTCGTTTTGTCTTAATAATCTGAATACTTATTGAAACTCTTGACAGGAACTCGATATATTAATACTAAACTACTAATAATTTAGTGATATTTCAAATTTATATTTGGCTTTATATTTTGCATGCGAGAGTGATGGTCTAATATCAAAAGTTGGTGGTCATTTGTTGCAGGAGAAATTTGTTAAGTGTCTTGGATTTTCTTAAAAGGCCAAATGCTAGCACTCTTGTATCTGGAACAAGGGATCGAGTGAATTTGCACGATAACTTTAAGAATGCTATTGAGGCTTCTTTCCCTGGAGAAATCGATGAATTGACTCGGAAAGAAGAAGAGAGAAAGATCCAGCAAAGGAAACTTTCCTTCTGGGATTCTGTCACAGATGCCAACGTGGGGGCTTTCAAGTTCTCCTTCTAGATAAATATTCAGGGATAACGAGTATTGCTGATCCACATTCTAGAAAGATGCTATGCATCAATTTTGACATTTTGGTTAGTTTTTTTATTGATTGTACTCTTTCAATTCCTTTTTGGGTGCTACAGCACATGACAACCATACATTTTTAAGCTCCCTGCTGTTAATCATCCAAAGTGCAAAACCATGGATTCTTGTTTCCTACTGAAGATATGTATTTGATGAGGATGTATGTCCACACTTACAGATATGCGATGAAGAGAGTTAAGCCAATTTGATGATTAGGAACTTAGATTGCATTCCCTGCTCATAACAAACAAATATGGTTCGCAGTCGTTGTACCATAGGATACCTAAGTAATGGTAGTAAATATGGTTCTCATTCATTATTCCCAATCCTAAAATTGAAAGGTATTCCTTAGAAGTAATAATAATAATTATAATAATAATAATAATAATCTATACTAATATATAAAAAGGGGATACTTTTTTTTGATAACCACTTTGGTCTCCACTTTTCTTGGCCATTATACTATTTTATTTTAAAAAATTATAAAAAAAAAATTTAATCAAATTTAAGAACTTAAAATTAATGAATCTATACTTCTATGCTAATATATAAATGAGATATCATTTTTAATAACTACTTTTAGTTTATATTTTTACATTAATCATTTTATCCTTTGTTTATTTTTTAATAACTATCTTTTTTATGAGTAACTTATCATTTTTTATTTTTATTTTTTCCTTTTAATACAATGTAGGCACAAAGTATCTTTTTCTTACTAGTAATAATAATAATAATAATAAATTATATTTGAATGCATTGTTTTGGAGGAAGATTCAAATTATGTCGTTATAAGATAAATTAATTATTACATCATTCATAATTTTTTAGTTAAACTATTAATTAGCTATTTGAGTTATTTTTAAAAAAATAAATATGTCTCTTAATTAAAAATTATAATAATCAGGTCTTTGATGATGTAATTTTTTCTTTAGTTGAGTCTTAGGCTTTTTAAAATTATCACAAATTTCATTTTCTAACAATTCCAATATGTTAAAGTCTAATATTAAGGACTTACATTTTTAGTTTAAAGACCCAATTAATAAAAGGTTTAGGAGTCTATTTGAAATTTCTCAAATAGTTCAGAGATTTCTTTAGTAATTTAATATCTCTATATGTAATTGATGTGATTCATAATTTTTAAATATATAAAAATAAAAAATAACTATATATTTATAATTGTTCAAATTTTGATAAAATTTAATAAACAATCAAAATAATATAGAATCATAATTCACTGTTGAATAAAAAAATTATATAAAACTATTAGAATAGATTATATCACCCTCTCGTGAGACAAGAACCCCTCATTTCTTGAGAGATGCAAATATTACATCATCCTCTTTTCAAATATTAAAATATAAAATAAATTACAAACTTTTATTGTGTAGAGATTTGAGCATTGTACTATCACAGGCATATTATATTAAAATATATAAATTAGAGTATTTAACTTAACATCTTAAAAGGGATTGTATAAAATTTTAAAATATATTTTTTATTAAAATATCTTTAGTTTATTATTATTTATTCACTTAATAAAAAATTATAAAATGTATGATTAAATTAAAATTAATTTATTAAAATAATAAATAAAA